GGGGGATCCGCCAGACCTTCACGCTTCCGGACTCACCACAGCAAAATGGGATTGCTGAGCGCCGCATTGGCATGGTCATGGATGTCGCTCGTACGTCCATGATGCATGCGGCTGCCCCCCATTTTCTGTGGCCGTTTGCGGTGAGGTACGCGGCGCATCAGCTCAACCTTCACCCCTGGGTCTCTCGGCCTGCGATGTCCCTAGCCTTGCTGTGGACGGGGAAGGTTGGCGATGCGTCTGTGTTCCGTGTCTGGGGATCTCGGGCGTTTGTCCGCGACTTGTCTGCGGATAAGCTGTCCCCTCGTGCTGCTCCCTGTGTCTTCCTTGGCTTCCCCACTGACGCCCCAGGGTGGCAGTTTTACCACCCCTCCTCTCGTCGTGTTCTGTCCTCCCAGGACGTCACGTTCAACGAGTCAGTCCCCTTCTACCGTCTCTTCCCCTACCGCACTCCTTCCCTCCCCCCTCCCCCGGACTTCCTTGTGCCGGTTCCCCCCCCGGTAGACCCCCTCCCCCCTCAGGTTCCTACCCCCTCAGGTGTGTCCCAGGTAGACGCCGTTGACCCGGTCGAGGTTACTGGTGACTCTGGTGCTGCTGCGGGTGCTGAGCCTGGGGGTGCTGACTCTGGGGGTGCTGTGCGCGGGGGTGCTGAGCCTGGGGGTGCTACTGCTGGGGGTGCTGGGCCTGGGGGTGCTACTGCGGAGGGTGCGGAACCTGGGGGTGCTGAGCCGGGGGGTGCTGTGCCTGGAGGTGCTGGGTCTGGGGGTGCTGGGTCGGGAGCTGCTGAGCCTGGGGGTGCTGAGCTGGGAGCTGCTGAGCCTGGGGGTGCTGCGTCTGGAGCTGCTGAGCCTGGGGTTTCTCCTGCTGCTGCGTCTCGCCGGGAGCCCCTCTCTCCACAGGAGCTGCGCGAGTGGTTCGCTCACCGCTGGAGGCGTGCTGCTGAGTCTGGAGGTGCTGCTGGAGCTGGAGCTGGAGCTTCTTCGACCGTCGAAGGTGCGGGTGCTGCCGGTCCCGGAGCTGCTGGACCTGCGGGTCCTCCTGGAGCTGGAGCTGCTAAGGGCGTTGGTGCTGAGCCTACTACTGTTGGTCCTGCCGCTGGAGGTGTGGGTGGCGCTGGTGCTGTCGGTGAGGGTGCTGGTGCTGTCCCTGCTGAGTCTTGAGCTGCCGCGCGGCCTCGGCCGTACTTCGTTCCGCTCCTGCAGCAGGTTCTTGGTCTTTCTCCTCCAGTAGAGGGTCCACCGCCTGTCCAGTCGCAGTCCCTGCTGAAGCCTTCCTCTTCACTGCCTGCTCCCTCTCCTTACACTGGTCCTACTGGAGGTCATGCTGAGCGTCGTGAGCCTGCGTCTCGTCCCGCGTCGCCTGTTCGTGCTGCTCGCGCTAGTGGTCGCAGTTCGCGTCAGCGTCCTCCTCCTGTCCCTGGCACGCACCGGATGTCTCTGCGTCCGTCCACTGCTCCTCTGCGTGCCCCTTTGCCTTCTCCTCCTGAGTCCTCTCTTCCTGCGCTTGCTGACCCTGAGTCGGACTCTCTTCGTGCTGCCAGTCCTACTGTCACGCGTCTGCTTGCTACTGTTGTCACTGACCCCTCTTTTGAGTCCACTGCTGCGTCTGCTCTTGTCGCTGAGCTCGTCGACTTTGCTGCTCGCTGTCGTCTCGACTACGCTGCTAGTCTTGTTGCTGAGTCTGCGTCTGTCTGTCCTCCGTCCGTCGGGGGTGAGTGTGCTCTTGGCACGGACGTCCTAGAGGACAGGCAGGAGGAGTTACAGTGTCTAGCGGGTGCTTCACCTCATCTCGCGTCTGTACTGCTTGCCCCTGAGGGAGACCCGGATGCACTAGACATCCCGACTCCGCGTTCTTACGCGGAGGCTGTAGAGGGTCCCTACTCCTCTCAGTGGCAGGCAGCTATGGATGCAGAGATGGCTTCCTGGAAGTCCACAGGCACCTACGTTGACGCGGTTCCCCCTCCTGGGGCGAACATCGTCAGTGGCATGTGGATCTTCAGGGTGAAGCGGCCGCCGGGCTCTCCACCTGTCTTCAAGGCACGGTACGTTTCTCGTGGCTTCAGTCAGCGGCAGGGAGTTGACTACTTTCAGACCTTCTCTCCCACCCCGAAGATGACTACTCTTCGGGTGCTGCTGCACATAGCCGCTCAGCGCGACTACGAGCTTCACTCTCTCGACTTCAGCACTGCGTTCTTGCAGGGTAGCCTGCACGAGGAGATCTGGCTTCGCCGTCCACCTGGCTTCACTGGGACTTTCCCTCCTGGCACCCAGTGGAGCCTCCGACGGCCAGTCTACGGTCTCCGCCAGGCACCGCGTGAGTGGCACGATACACTGAGGACTACGCTTGCGGCTCTTGGGTTTGCTCCTTCTACTGCTGACCCGTCGCTGTTTCTTCGCACCGACACTTCCCTGCCGCCGTTCTACATCCTCGTGTACGTCGACGACTTGGTCTTTGCCACAGCGGACACTGCTGGACTCGCCTACGTGAAGTCCGAGCTGCTGAAGAGACACACGTGCACAGACCTGGGTGAACTGCGCAGCTACCTTGGCTTGCAGATCACTCGGGACAGAGCACGCCGCACCATTACCTTGACTCAGTCACACATGGTGCAGCAGGTCCTTCAGCGCTTCGGCTTCACGTACTCCTCGCCTCAGGCCACTCCTCTGCCTACTCGCCACTCACTCTCAGCTCTGCCTTCGGATGAGTCCGTAGAGTCGAGGGGTCCGTAAGCAGAGCTTGTTGGCTGCCTCATGTACCTGATGACCTGCACACGACCTGACCTTGCATACCCTCTGAGCATTCTTGCACGCTATGTTGCTCCTGGGAGACACAGACCAGAGCACATGGCTGCAGCGAAGAGGGTATTGCGCTACCTGTGCAGTACGTCGGGCATGGGGCTAGTGCTTGGAGGGCGGAGTCCAGTGGTCCTTACCGGCCACGCGGATGCTTCTTGGGCTGACGACCAGGCTACGCAGCGGTCGTCACAGGGTTACACCTTCAGCCTTGGTTCCGGCTCTGTCTCGTGGCGGTCTACTCGCTCGTCTTCGGTTCTCGGCTCCAGTTGTGAGGCTGAGATCTACGCCGGGGCCATGGCTGCACAGGAGCTTCGCTGGCTCACCTACCTGCTGACTGACCTTGGAGAGCCGCCTCGTTCTCCTCCAGTGCTGTACGTAGACAACAAGGCCATGCTGGCCTTGTGTCGAGAGCAGCGCTTGGAGCACAGAACGAAGCACATTGCTCTCCGCTACTTTCTTGCTCGTGAGCTGCAGCAGCGTGGTCAGTTGCGACTTGCGTACGTGGCCTCTGAGGCCAACACTGCTGATGTGTTCACCAAGGCACTCGCGCCTTGTGACCATCAGCGCTTTTGCACCCAGCTGGGTCTTGTGCCTGTCTTGCCTCACTTGCTCTCCTCTTGACTTCACTTGTACTGTGACATATATATATACCTGCTCTTGCTTGTCTAGTTTTATATATATGTCTGTACTCCTGCATGTGAACTGGCCTCTGGCCCTGCTCTTGTGCTCGGACTGTGTGGTGACTTTGTGATCCACCCTGAGCTTGCTTTGCTTTGCTTGACTGGTCTTGTGACCCCTTGTTCTCCCCCACTTTGCCTATGGGGGTGTGTCAAACATTATATATGTTATGCTTGTGTAGGCTACAGTGGGTTAGCCTATAGGGGGTACACAATTCTAGGGTTTCCTACTTGTACTCATTTTCACTGCTAGTTCATTCATTCCTGTTCGCTTATTCTCACAGAGTCCTATTACATTGAATCAGGGGCCATAAAACAATAAGTCTGAGGCACTCAGTGATGAAATTTTGACTACTCTGGAAATACATTTTTCACAAAGTGGATGGTCTGATTCGTCAGACTAATCAGACTAAATAGTCTGATAGCGTCAGCCCCGCCGCGACGTAGTCATCGCAGGGTTGCGAAGCGTTTTGCAAACCTAAGTTGTAATTATTTTTGTACAACAAGGTGTAGTAGTGTAACACCGAAACTCAGGTCAAACTATTCAGTTCAGGCTTTGAAAAGCACATGGGGGAGATCGGACCCGGGAGCTTTCGAATCCTGACTCAGCGTCAATCAGCTGAGCTACAGCCGCCTGTAAGGACAAGAAAAATCAATTGATTCAAAACGTTACGCGCGAACAAATCGACACTACCTTAGGGTTTGTATTTTTTTCTTTTCCTCTCTCGCTTTCCTCTCGCTGCTGGAGCTCTTCTCAACGTACTCCCGCTAGTCACGCTGCATCTACCGTCATCGCCCGAATATAAGACATATATGTCTTAACTCGTACACGGGCGAAAATGCTTGTGTTATCTTGTAAACGGGATGGTTTAGGGTGTCTTGTAAGTCTTATAAATGGAAACTTTTTAAACTACTTAGAAATATATTCCATACTTCTTTACAAAGAGTTTCTCGTAATGCGTGTGGATGTTGCGAATGTGCCACTTCGACAACCTCTGCCAGAGACGCCATGTTATGGAGAACACCTGCAGGGGCAAATTTGGTAGGTCCTGGGTCGGCGTGTGGAAGAATTCGCGCTTCGCAAGGGTAAAAAAGTACGCGGTACTTCAACTTTCGCTATAATTTATTGAAGTTTCGATAAGACATATATGTCTTATCTCATACACTCAAATAGGTGTCTTATAATGAGGCTAGTGAGAAGAAACGAGAATGATAGAACTATGAAAGAGTTGGGTACAAGTACTAACCCTAATTGGGTTGTACCCCATATGGGCTACCCCACTACAGCCTACACAAAAGCATAAGCTATAATGTTTTGACACACCCTCATAGGCAAAGTGGGGGAGAACAAGGGGTCACAAGACCAGTCAAGCAAAGCAAAGCAAAGCAAGCTTAGGGTGGATCACAACGTCACCACACATTCCGAGCACAAGTTCAAGGCCACAAGGCCAATTCACATGCAGGAGTACATATATATATAAGGCTAGACAAGCAAGAGCAGGTATATATATATGTAACAGTACAACCAAGGTCAAGAGGTGAGCAAGTGAGGCAAGACAGGGACAAGACCCAGCTGAGTGCAGAAGCGCTGATGATCACAAGGCAAAAGTACCTTGGTGAAAACATCAGCAGTGTTGGCCTCAGAGGCCACATACGCAAGCCGTAACTGTCCACACTGCTGTAGCTCACGAGCAAGGAAGTAGCGGAGAGCAATTTGCTTTGTTCTGTGCTCCAGTTGCTGCTCTCGACACAAGGCCAGCATGGCCTTGTTGTCTACGTACAGCACTGGAGGAGAACGAGGCGTCTCTCCGAGGTCAGTCAGCAGGTAGGTGAGCCAGCGAAGCTCCTGTGCAGCCATGGCCCCTGCGTAGATCTCAGCCTCACAACTGGAGCCGAGAACAGAAGACGAGCGAGTAGCCCGCCACGAAACAGAGCCGGAACCAAGGCTGAAGGTGTAACCCTGTGAGGACCGCTGCGTAGCCTGGTCGTCAGCCCAAGAAGCGTCCGCGTGCCTAGTGAGGACCACTGGACTGCGCCCTCCAAGCACTAGCCCCATGCCCGACGTACTGCACAAGTAGCGCAACACCCTCTTCGCTGCAGCCATGTGCTCTGGTCGGTGTCTCCCAGGAGCAACATAGCGTGCGAGAATGCTAAGAGGGTATGCAAGGTCAGGTCGTGTGCAGGTCATCAAGTACATGAGGCAGCCAACAAGCTCTGGATACGGGCCACTCGACTCTACGGACTCATCCGAAGGCAGAGCTGAGAGCGAGTGGCGGGTAGGCAGAGGAGTGGCCTGAGGCGAGGAGTACGTGAAGCCGAAGCGCTGAAGGACCTGCTGCACCATGTGTGACTGAGTCAGGGTAATGGTGCGGCGTGCTCTGTCCCGGGTGATCTGCAAGCCAAGGTAGCTGCGCAGTTCACCCAGGTCAGTGCACGTGTGTCTGTTCTGCAGCTCGGACTTCACGTAGGCGAGTCCAGCAGTGTCAGCTGTGGCAAAGACCAAGTCGTCGACGTACACGAGGATGTAGAACGGTGGCAGAGAGGTGCCGGTGCGCAGAAACAGCGACGCGTCGGCAGTAGAAGGAGCAAACCCAAGAGCCGCCAGTGTAGTTCTCAGTGTGTCGTGCCACTCACGTGGCGCCTGGCGAAGACCGTAGACTGGACGCCGGAGACTCCACTGGGTACCACGAGGGAAAGACCCAGTGAAGCTAGGTGGGCGGCGCAGTCAGATCTCCTCGTGCAGGATGCCCTGCAAGAAAGCAGTGCTGAAGTCGAGAGAGTGCAGCTCGTAGTCACGGTGAGCAGCAACGTGCAGCAGTACCCGAAGAGTGGTCATCTTCGGGGTGGGAGAGAAGGTCTGAAAGTAGTCAACTCCCTGCCGCTGACTGAAGCCACGAGCCACGTAACGTGCCTTGAAGACAGGCGGAGAACCCGGCGGCCGCTTCACCCTGAAGATCCACATGCCACTGACGATGTTCGCCCCAGGCGGGGGAACCTCGTCAACGTAGGTGCCTGTGGACTTCCTGGAAGCCATCTCTGTGTCCATAGCTGCCTGCCACTGAGAGGAGTAGGGACCCTCTATCGCCTCCGCGTAAGAGCGCGGAGTCGGGATGTCAAGTGCAACCGGGTCTCCCTCAGGGGTAAGCAGTACGGACACGAGATGAGGTGAAGCAGCTGCCAGACACTGGAACTCCTCCTATCTGTCCTCGAGGACGTCCGTGCCAAGGGCGCACTCACCCCCGACAGACGGAGGACCGACAGACTCGGACTCAGCGACAAGACTAGCAGTGTAGTCTAGGCGACAGCGAGCAGCAAATTCGACGAGCTCAGCAACTAGGGAAGACGCAGCAGTGGACTCGTAAGAAGGGTCAGTGAGGACAGTAGCCAAGAGACGCGTGACAGTAGGACTGGCAGCACGAAGAGAGTCTGACTCCGGGTCGGCAAGAGCAGGAAGAGAGGACTCAGGAGGAGAAGGCAAAGGGGCACGCAGAGGAGCAGTGGACGGACGCAGAGACATCCTGTGCGTGCCAGGGACAGAAGGAGAACGCTGACGCAAACCACGACCACTAGCGCGTCCAGCACGGACAGGCGACGCAGGGCGAGACGCAGGCTCACGACGCTCAGCAACACCTCCAGTAGGACCAGAGTAGGGAGAAGGAGCAGGCAAAGGGGAGGTAGGCTGCAATTGTAACTGTGACTGGACAGGCTGTGGACACTCTAACGAAGGAGGAGGACCAGTAGAAGGCGGAAGACCAAGAACCTGCTTCAGGAGTGGAACAAAGTACGGTCGAGGCCGCGCGGTGACGCCAGACAGAGCAGGGACAGCACCAGTTCCCTCAGCAGGAGCACCCGCTCCAGCTGCACCTCCAGCAGCTCCAGAACCTCCAGCAGCACCAGGAGTACCCGCAGTAGGACCGCCAATAGTAGTCTCAGCGCCAACACCCTCAGCAGCACCAGCTCCAGTCGAACCCGCAGACCCAGCAGCTCCAGTACTCCCAGTACGAGCACCTCTGGGACCCGCGACAGCAGCACCCTCAGTAGCCGAAGAACCTCTAGTACCAGCAGCACGCCTCCCACTCAGCGTCGGGCAAACCACTCGCGCAGCTTCTATGGAGAGAGTGGCTCCTGTAGAGACGAAGCCCCTGGAGAACCTCCAGGCGGAGCACCTCCAAGCTCAGCACCCCCAGGCTCAGTACCACCAGATGTAGCACCCCCAGGCAAAGCACTCCCAGGCTCAGCACCCCCAGGCTCAGCACCCCCAGGCTCAGCATCCCCAGGCCCAGCACCCCCAGGCTCAGCACCCTCAGCAGCACCAGAGTCACAAGTGACCTCGACAAGCTCGACTGCGTCTACGTGGGACACACCTGAAGGGGACAGACTTTGAGGGGGGAGGGGGTCTACCGGAGGGGGATCTGGAACAAGGAAGAGCGGCGGCAGGGGGAGGGACGGAGTGCGGTAGGGGAAGAGGCGGTAGTAGGGGACCGACTCGTCAAACGTGACGTCCTGGGAGGACAGAACACGGCGAGAGGTGGGATGGTAGAATTGCCACTCAGGCGCGTCGGGGGGGAACCCCAGGAAGACGCAAGGAGCAGCACGAGGGGACAGCTTGTCCGCAGACAAGTCGCGGACAAACGCCCGAGATCCCCAGACCCGGAACGCCGACGCATCGCCAACCTTTCCTGTCCACAGCAGGGCTGGGGAGGTCTCCGGCCTGGAGACCCTGGGGTGTAGGTTGATCTGATGCGCCGCGTACCTCACCGCAATCGGCCACAGAAAATGGGGAGCAGCCGCATGCATCGTAGACGTACGAGCGACGTCCATGACCATGCCAATGCGGCGCTCAGCGATCCCATTTTGCTGCGGAGAGTCCGGAAGCGTGAAGGTCTGACGGATGCCTCGTGCGCGGCAGTAGGCTCTCAAAAGGCCAGAGGAAAACTCTCCGCCTCTGTCCGAGTGCAGATACAGAACAGGAAAGTCCGAGCCAAAGCTCTGCCTGAGCTGGAGACGAGCTGCGCGGATCCAGTCGAGCAGCACCTCAGTGACATCACCCTTGCTGCGCAAGGGGAAGACTGCGGTGTAACGCGAGTAGTCGTCAACAACGAGCAGGAAGTAGCGCTCGTGACCCTTTCCACGGACGCGGGCTGGGCCCCACACGTCCATTCGAAGCGTCTGCAACGGGGCCTCTGTCGGAGGAAACTGGGAGGAGTGAGGGGCAGCCCGCTGGCGCCCCTCGACACAGGGGACACAGGTAGGGCCAGGGCCCTGAGGAGGGGGAGGGAGGGACCGGGGTAGACCAGAAACAAGAAGACGGGAGGCCATGCCTCTGAGCTGAAGCAGAAAGGGGTGACCAAGGCGGTGGTGCCAGAGGAGAGTCTCGTGAGACAGGAGACGACACGAACAGGGGGCAGACTCAGGACCAGACCTGGACGCTGCAGCAAACACCTTACCCGACGCAGCTACCCTACCAGACTCAGCAACAGGAGGAGACGCAGTGGTCAGTGTGTACAGGCTCGACCCCGGCTGACGAGTAAACATAGCCAGGTGTTGGCCTGTGCTGGCCTCTGTGCAGTGCGTCACCCGCTGACGCGCAGGAGTGAACTGGTGGACTCCCCCATCCTGTAGGTCAGCACCACTCACCAGGTTCGTAGAGAACGAGGGGAGGTAAAGACCAGACAGGGTGCCAGAGGGAGCCGCCGGACACGGGAGGACAGTGGAGAAGTGAGACAGGACAGGACCCCCAGAGGGGTCAGCCAGAGACACCGCAACCGGCCGACTAAGCGGCGTGAGTGTGGTGCGGTCCAGAAAGAAGGAGCATGAAGCCCCAGAGTCAAGGGTGAAGGTGAGGGAGGCCGAAGCCGACGTAGTACCTGAGAGCGCAGACTCACTAGTACCTGAGGACGCAGACACACTAGCACCTAGAGCAGCAGTGTCGCAAGCACCTAGGGCAGCCGCCTCACCAGTACCTAGAGCAGCAGTCTCAATGCCCGGATCGGGGGGGAAACACCGGTAACAGTCACCCTCATCACTAATAGACACAGCATACATGGCAGAAAGAATAGCATCAAAATCAAGATCATAATTGGCAACACCCGTCCTAGACACCTCGCCCTAGCGAGGGATCTCTGTGGCCTCTGGGAACTGGTGATGCCACGCGTTCGTCAGGCGGCCAAAGCAGCGCTGGGTGGGGTGCGCACCCCCACACTGCTCACCCGCACGGTCGCCGGTGCGCAGGACGTAGGTGCACGGACCAAAATCCCCACCCCGCTGGCGTGCAGTGTACCACTCACGGAGCTGCTGAGGGGACAGGGTCTCACGACCGCGCTGGTGCTGCTGGCGCGGACCACCACCGGAGCCACTCCTCTGCGTAGACCCGCGACCAGCTCCACCGCCACCCCCGCCGCCTCCGCCGCCTCCGTTACTACCGCCGCCTCCACTGCCGCCACCTCCGCCACCTCCGCTCCCACCGCCACCGCCGCCGCCGCCGCCGCCTCCTCCTCCACTGCCGCCACCGACACCTCCACCCCCACCTCCACTCCCACCGCCACCCCCACTCCCCCCGCCGCCTCCACCTCCACCTCCACCGCCCCCGCTCGCTCCTCCAGTGCCCCTGCTCCCCTTGCCCTTGCCAGGGCGGCGTCTCCCGCTAGGGGTAGACGCCGCACCGACCGACTCAAGAGCAAGGAGGTTGGCCGCAGCAGCAGAGGCAACAGAGGGCAGAAGGGGGGAGGGGGAACACCCCTCAAAGATGGGGGTGCGCGGGTCACCATGAGAGGCCCCTACAGCGACTATGCTCTTCTTGGCCGCTAGGAGGACTTCTCGAGGAGGTCAACAGTGAGAGTGGTGGGACAGACTGAGAGGAAGTGGTCCCTGACTGCTCGAAGGGAGTCAGGGAGGCGAGTGACTATGTAGTAGAGAGTGATGTACATGGGGGGGGGGGGGGTTCTTGGCGCAGAAGTCAGCAGGAAGCGCAGCGCGGTAGCGAGTGTCACTAGTGCGGAGGTGCGTAATGAGGTCAGCGACTGTGGGAAAGGCAGCAAGGTCGGGGAAGAGGTACGGTAGCATGAGACGGCTCAGTGCAGCAGTGGCAGGGGAGGAGTAGCGCGCAACTACAGCGTCGTACAAGGTCTGAGCACTCTTGTACTGACTAAAGTGCGCACGCTCGGATGTAGGGAGGTGGCGGCGTACCGCAAGACGTGCAGTAGCATCGCGCGTGGCCCACTGGGAGCGAACAGTGGCGTCGGCATCAGCAGCAGGGGCAGGAGAGGCGCCAGAGGTGAGATCAAAGATTGAGAGACCGTCCGCCCTATCGCACTGTAAAAACAGCTGCAGGTCATCTACCCAAACGTCAAAGTCAATGGCTCTACCCTCAGCGTCAAAAGCGAGGACACTAGGGGTAGCCAATACCACAGTAGACTAGGAGTGCAACAGTAGGATGAGGGCAGTGCAGTGAAAGAGGCACTGTGCTCACCGGACGGGGCTGCTCGGACGGCTCGGAGGTAGGGCGGCTCGGCGGCTCGGCTGCACGGCGGCTCGGCTGCAGGGCGGCTCGGCTGCTCGGTTGCTGGGCGGCTCGGCTGCAGGGCGGCTCGGCTGCTCGGCTGCTGGGCGGCTCGGCTACTTGGCTGCTCAGCTGCTGGGCGACTTGGTCGTGCTGCTGCAGGGCGGCGCGGCAATCGGCTGCTCGGCGAGGTGAGGCGGCCCGGGCGGCTCAGGTGGCGGGCGGCGCTGCAGCAGGTGACAGGGCCGCAGGGAAGGCGGCTGGGCCGCAGGTAAGGGCGGCGAGGCCGTAGTTGAGGGTGGCGAGGCCGCAGGTAAGGGCGGCGAGGCCGCAGAGGAGGGCGGCGAGGCCGTAGGTGAGGGCGGCGGGGACCGCAGGGAAGGGCGGCGGGGACCGCAGGTGAGGGCGGTGGAGCCGCAGGTAAGGGCGGCGAGGCCGCAAGGGCGGCGCGCGGGGTCGACGGGTGGCGTAAGGCGCCACTAGGGCGGCGCGCGGGGTCGACGGGCGGCGCAGGGGGGGGCGCTAGGGCGGCGGGCGGGGTCGACGGGCGGCGCAGGGGGCCGCTAGGGCGGCGCGCGGGGTCGACGGGCGGCGCAAGGAGCCGCTAAGGCGGCGCGCGGGGTCGACGGGTGGCGCAAGGAGGGGCCGCTAAAGCGGCGCGTGGGGTCGACGGGCAGCGCGAGAGGCCACAAAGGGCGGCGCGATGGTAGGGAGGGCACACGGGGCGCGCGCGACTCGGTCTAGTCTGAGGCGCGCTCCGGGCAGGAAAAAAAATCGTGGTGGGCCCTAGGTAGCGTTCCCACAAGGGAACCTGTTGTGAAACCATGAGAAGAAACGAGAATGATTGAACTATGAAAGAGTTGGGTACAAGTACTAACCCTAATTGGGTTGTACCCCATATGGGCTACCCCACTACAGCCTACACAAAAGCATAAGCTATAATGTTCTGACAGCTAGCCTGTTTATAAGAGACACCCGTATAGTAGACAACCCCAGTCTACTATTCAACACTGTCTTATATCCGGGTGATGACGGTACCTACCACTAACATGTCAGAACCCAAGGCTATTAAGGAAAACTAAGATAGTAGTTACAAGCTAGTCTAACCGTAATCGCGTATTCTAGTCGTAATCGCGTCCTTATGTTCTAAGCTCTTACTAAAGTTTTAAGCATTTCCTGTCATCTTTAGGCTAAACTAAGCTGAGCATGTGATTGTCTTTTAGTTGTCAACGACCCATGATATAGTTCGATAGATCTTGCTCTTATGGCGTATTTAGAAGCCTAAGCACGTCAAATGTAAATTTTCCTCCTAGAAATTGCTTCATATGGGTCTTATTATTGGATGCTATTCTTGTACTTTCTGATCTGGCTACTAGTTTATGCTGTACTTGTCCCTGTCATTCATTTCTTCCTTCGTTCCTTTCTTTCGTATGTACCTACTCCTTTTTTCTCTTCCAATCTTTATCGTCGTATATCATCCGTCATGTAACCTATATGTCTGTTTGGTTCCGTTCTCTGTAAGTTCCTTTCCTTCACAGCTTCTTTTTCTCCCAATCCGTTTTTGTACTCCCTTAGTCTTGCATATTTCGCTTTCATTCCGTTCTGTCTGTTTTGGATGCATCTTTTAGTATAGTGTCCGTTCTTGCATAGCATGTTAAACAACATGTTTCGGTATGTCTCATATTGTGACACGACTTTCAGAGGAGTGTGCAGTGCAGTCGTCATAGCATTTCACATCTCAAGTATCCAGCACACTCGATAATATGGAATACATATGGTGTTCTAAACGGGAACAAGATACGCACAAGCGATCCATTGTACAAGGGAGAGGAGGGTGGGAACTAGAGAAGTGAAAACTGCAAATGAGACTAGGTGGTAGGTCCCGAGGACCTGCTGAAAGGTAAAGGAGAATGTCTCCTTTACAGCAAACCCCTCTTCAAGTCGAACCACAATCTGTAATTTTTTTTGTTACAAAAAACTTATCATATTGTGACACGACTTTCAGAGGAGTGTGCAGTGAAGTCGTCATAGGTCGAACGAGACATCAAGGGAGAGGTCGGCGGTGACCCCTCTCGAATGTGGTCAAGTACCGATCGGCCGGGCTAGATCGGAGAGGGTCCTGTAGTACGCGAGAGGCATTGACAAGCTCGCGATCGAGCTGTGTAATATATAGCTCCTTAGCCCTATCACTACGCCACCGACCAAGGGCTTTGAAGAGTCTGTCCAGCACTCCGACGTCGACAGCTACAGTTGCCGCCGATTTACGGAAGGAATGAGTGCCGAGGAGATCCGGGTTAAGGCCGACGCGGGCAAAGCCATCGCGGCACCAGCCCCGCACGGTAGCATACGAAGGGGAACGGTCGGAAGGGGAAGCCCCGGCACCCGGTTGGAACACGCGGATAAGAGGGCCGGTAGAATCTTGAGAGTAGCCCGCGAGGAAAAGAAACTGCTGGACACGAGAGACAGGGCAGTGGCGGGCAGAGGATGCTGCCACTGGGACCCAAGCACCTCTCCTGGCTTGGTCCGTCTTGGAGCGAGGAATAAATAGCCACATGCAGTCCCTGTCAAACTCAATCTGATGCCACTGGAGGGAAATCAGGTCAGAGAAGCGTAAGAAGGCCGAAAACATGAGAAGAGGGATCAGCCCCCGCTGGAATGTGGCCGGGTCGGATGACGAAAAATATATGTCGCAGATATCGTAGATTTTTTCTGGTGGTACAGGCTCTTTAGCCTTAGATGGTCGTCCGCAATGACGCTGTGCATACTCTTTCACTTGGCTTTAGAGTGGCCCGCGAACAGGAGACGGTTTGTGAAACTTTAGAAGAGAGAAGAGGGTTGAACTAGCAAGAATGGGGATTCAAATAGCAAACCCTAGAAGGGTTGTACTCGCTATAGAGCACCCCACTACAGGCTAGAGCATAACATTCTGACACACCCCCATAGCCAAAGTGGGGTGTAATCAGCAGAGCAAGCAAAGCAGAACAAGCTCAGGGTGGATCACAATGACACCACACATTCTGAACACAAGTTCAAGAAGCAACAGTTTAAAGTTCATAAGTGTAAGCAAAGCTAGAGGCTATAGCAGAGGGCAAGTAAGGAGGAGGAGGCGAGACTGTAAGAGGAGAGGAGATAGGAGGCGACGACTGAAGCTGCAGACACACGGGCAACAGGAGGCACACTGGCACAGCGGCTACCGGAACAACGCTCCGGACTACTGGAGTAACTGGTCCCGCGGCTAAAAGTAGCGGCAGACGAGCAACGGACCCACGGGCGGCTGGCACAGCTGGCTACGACTGGGCTACCGGACGAAGTCCCCGGAATACAGGTGCTGCTGGCGACACGACGGCAACCTCCATTCAACTTCCCCAGACTATCCCACCCCCCCTGACACACACCCCCTACTGCACCCCTCGGGTCACTCACACCCCACCCCCTAGCACGACTCCGTCGACTCCCACACACCCACCCCCCTCAGCGGCAACTGCAGCAGTGGGAGACAGAGGAGGAGGAGGAGCAGGGGAGACCACACACCCGCCACCCCCCACTCGCCACCCCCAAAGCCTAAAATAGGGCAGGGCAGGATGGCGGGTAGGGAGGTTACGGGGGGAGAGGGGGGGACCGATACGCGGCCTCCCAGGGCGCCACAACAGGTGGCAGAAGGGGCGGCGCCCGCCCCCCTCCCCCGAGGGTCACCTCGACGGACGACGGGAAATGGCCGGGGCGGGGCCGGGGCCGTGCAAGGGCGGCGACGGGGTCGCTGCGGGCGGCGACGGGTCCGCTGCGCGCGGCGACGGCGCGGCCGATGCGGGCGGGGACGGGGTCGCTGCGGGCGGCGACGGGGCCGCTGCGCGCGGTGACGGGGTCGCTGCAGGCGGCAACGGGCCCGCTGCGGGTGGCGACGGGTGAGAAGAATAGAACGAGAATGAATCAACTATGAATGGAGTGAGTACATATAGGAAACCTTGATTGGGTTGTACCCCCTATGGGATACCCCACTATAGCCTACACAAATATATATAAGCTATAATGTTCTGACACACCCCCATAGGCAAAGTGGGGGAGAACAAGGGGTCACAAGACCAGTCAAGCAAAGCAAAGCAAATCTCAGGGTGGATCACAAAGTCACCACACATTCCGAGCACAAGTTCAAAGGCCAAAAAGGCCAGTTCACATGCAAGATCACAAAAATATATACAAGAGGCTAAGCAAGGAAGAGCAAGAGTATATATATGTGACAGTACAAGCAAGGTCAAGAAGTGAGCAAGTGAG